GTGACAGTGTGACAGTGTCACCGGGCTGTGGGCACGGGCACTCTGACAGTGTGACAGTGTGATAGTGACAGTGTGACAGTGTGACAGTGTCGCCGGCAGGTGGGTATGGGCACCACAGACAGCCAGTGTCACTGTGCTGTGGCCATGGGCTCCATGCTATGGCCATGGTCACCGTGCCACGGCTGGGGACAGCGTGCTGTGGCTGGGGACACCACGATACTTGCCACTGGCAGCATCACTGTGCTATTCCAAGAATTACTGTCCTGTGGTCATCGTGCTGCTTCTGGGGATAACACGGCATAGGCAGGGACAGAGTGTTGTCACCAGTGTCACCGCGCAATGGCAGGGGCTACCTGTGCTATGGCCAGGGCAGCCCCATGCCCTGTCAGTGCCCGGGCTGTTGGCAGGAGGAGATGCCATGCCTGGAGCACAGGGAGGTCACTGCACTGCTCAGCTCAGCTCTGCTGCAGACACTGACCCTCAGACAACACCCTATCTGTGCACATCCCCCAGAAAGGGTGGCTGTCACCCCCTGGGGGACCCTCAGAGGCTCAGCTATGGCACAAGAGGCTCCACGGCCGATCACAGGGACCTTCAGCTGAGAGCGGAGGGGAGGGTTTGGCGGCCGCTTGTCGCTGTTCCACACCCACAGCTGGTGCAAGAAAAGAGAAGTGAAGATGGACAGGGCCTAAGCTCTTGCTTTCCTCACACAGGAAAGCGGGCACCCAGATCTGCCAGGGGACTGCAGGAGGCCAAGCCCCCGTCCTGCTCCCTCCCCATGGACAGTGGGAAGGAGGAAAAAGAAGAGCCTTAGAGGGAAACCCTCAGTTACTGGGAAGGGAGTTCCCCCCTCAGCTCCAGGACCATCTCCTGAGTTAGTTTTCCTAGCACTGTGATGATGATCCTGGTTCCATAGATACCGATGCCATGACAACTCTGACATCATCCGTGCTTGGGACGGGAGCTGCAGGAACGTCGCAGGGAGGAGCATGCGGAGCTGTGGGGCCGGGGGCTTCTCCCGGCTCCTCGGCCAGCTCTTCTCCCACCTGCTGTCCCTGCAGCTCCATCTCCCCTTGCAGGGACCAGTGTCGCTGCCACACCACAGGGGGTACCTGTGTCCAGGTGTGTCCAGCCCCTCACACACACGGCTGTCACACAGCCGAGGATTCCCGTGCGCTCGGCCCGTTTCCAGCTCATTCTGGCCTGTCACAGCTCTGCCAGCCTGTTCTCTCTGGCAGGTGGGATCAGGATTTAACTGTTAAAGCTCATGGTGATGCCACGCAGTTTTTCTCAATTACAGGTGAGTCATCGCCTCTCTGGGCCTATTTCTGAGTCCCAGCAGGAAAAGCAGAACCCAGCCTTTCATTCCTCAGTGCCACCAGCTCAGCAGACATCACGCTGTACTATGCAAACCCGAAATGGCCACGGAGACAATGGTGGGTTGGTCCCTCCTGCTTTCCTCTGGCACGATGTCTCACGGAGCTGGCCAGGCACTGCACCCCAGTGCCAGGAGCATCATTGCCAGCTCATCCCTGAATTGCAGGTCAGGAACAAAGGCCAAATTAACTGGAAGGGATTACCCCAGGTGGGATTTTCAATCAGCTTCGGCAGTTTAGAAGCAGCTGTTCCAGCATCCTCAAAAATCAGTTTCATGCTTTGAGAACAAACCGTCCCGAATCCATCAGCCCAGAGTCACGATGGCAAGGGCTGCCCTGATCCCTGAGGGTGCCCAGTGCCAGGGAAGCAGCATGTTCCTGGGGCTACTGCACAGGGAATCATTTGGACCTCTGGGATCTGCTCCTGGTTTTCTCATGATGTTGGGAAAGACACTTCAGTTCTCCCCCTTTCTAAAACGTCTTGCCCAGCCCACCTGTCCCAGCTGGAACAGGGATATTTCAGACAATGCAAAGCACAAAGCACCAGGACCCTGCCTGAACTTTTCAGATGTTACTGTAGAAGAAATCATCACCATTTCCAGACAAAAACGTGGCTTATACACTTCCAGGCATGACCATGGTGCATCAGGCAAGGTCCCTACTGATATCCCTGCTCCTAAACTTCTCCCCTTTCTTCAAGGTTCATCCCTCCAACCTGTGCTGTGTGCAGTGTTTGTACAATCATTTCTCACGTCATGGGGTGCCAGTTTTCTTCCCCTGCTACAGCACAGATAAAGCTCAGGACGTATCTCCAGCCCACACACAAACTGTTTTTTCTGTTTCACTTCCTATTGCTGCAAATCAACGGATACACAGAGCCAGCCAATAACAGGGACAGATATTGCACCTTCGACATTTTCCCCATCAAATGGAGAACAGCAGCATTTGGAAATGGCACTTTCCAGAGCATCAGTTCAGTTTGAACAAGTTCTGGCTGCATTTACCACTCCCCCTGGATTTCAGTGACAGGGAACAAACAGCAGCACACAGACAAGTGCCTGAGATCTGTCTGTGTTCCGATTTTACAGGAGTTTAATTAAAGGTATGGATTTGCTTCTTGCTTCTTGTAGTCATGCTGACTTCTTAACCTTTGTTTTCATCACAAAAAAGCAATCAGGTTTTACTCAGGGGTAAATACATGGACATGACAACCCGGAGGAGACAAGGTGGGGGGCTTTCTCCTTCTTCAAAACCTGTTCAGGTCAGCCCTACCCACTCAGCCAAGGGCCAGGATTGGGACCTGGCCCGTAAGAAGCTGAATAATGGACAAGACCAGTTAATATGTTTTCTTTAGCAGGACCAAAGGAATTTTCTCTGGGGCAGTAGGATGCTCCTGATGTGGCAGGCAAAACAATCAGATATATTTTCTACTTAACAGCTCTGAAATAAAATAGTTGTAGAATCTGGAATGGTTTGGGTTGGAAGGGACCTTAAAGACCATTTCGTTCCAACCCCTATTCCATGGGCAGGGACACCTCCCACTAGCCCAGGTTGCTCCAAGTCCCCTCCAACCTGGCCTTGAACATTTCCAGGGATGGGGCAGTCACAGCTTCTCTGGGCAACCTGTGCCAGGGCCTCCCCACCCTCACAGGGAAGAATTCCAACCCAATATCCCATCTAATCCTGCCCTCTGTCAGTGGGAAGCCATTCCCCTTGTCCTATCACTCCAGGCTCTTGTCCCAAGTCCCTCTTCAGCTCTCCTGGAGCCCCTTTAGGGACTGGAATGGGCTCTGAGGTCTCCTTGGAGCCTTCTCTTCTCCAGGTGAACATGCCCAGCTCAGCAGAGGGGCTCCAGCCCTGTGATCAACTCAGTGGCCTCCTCTGGACTCATCCAACAGGTCCACATCTCCCTGTGGTGGGGACCCCAGAGGTGCTCCAGGTGGGAATAGCAATGTGCAGCTGCCTTGTTCTCAGAGCAGCTCTGACAGCGTGCTTGGAGTGCAGCTGCTCTGGCTCAGCAATCCCGGTGTGCAGGACCCAGTGCCAGCCCCAGAGAGCCATCCAGGCTCCAGCCACGTTCCCAGCCCGACTCCAGCAGCTCCCCGAGGTCTGACCCAGCTCTGGCACGGGTGTGGGCGGGAAAACAGCTTGTCCTTCACATTCCCTGGGCAGTAGGCCTGAAGTAGCACTTTGAGACACGTTCATTTAGTTGTTGCTCCGAAGTGCTTTGCTTGCCATTCATTAGAGCTCGGCTGGTGCTGCTTTCAGCCCTTAGAAAAACAAGAGCTCATGGAAGTGTTGAGAGGAGCTTAGAAATCCATAGTGCCCAATGACAGAGAGAATGGACTTCCTGGTGAGTAACACCTTACCTCACTATCACTAGAAAGCCCTAGAAGCCTTCCACCCTAAGAGATCCAAAAATATCTGGAGGATCATTTCTGAGCTGGTTACTCATCCACTTGTGAGACGCAGCCGTTTCTCAGGTGGGATCCAGCAGTTACTGTGCAAGGATAAACCCAGGAGAAGTGTGCCAGAAAAACACGTGGAAAACTTCACTCACTGAACTTTGGGATAAGAGAACTCAGCGAACTGAGGGAGCACTGGCTTTGAACAGGAGAGTTGATACCTCAGTGCTTGCATAAAACCCAAACTGAACAAAACCCCAGGGGGTTTTGAAATGCCTCTCAGTGGTGCAACTGTGACACTGGTGACAACACCGTGCCCCTGCCCATGAGCTCAACGGCTCATCAACTCGGTGTTTGCTTCTCCTCCAAATATTCCACAGCGTCAAACGGTTGGGGGTTTTGGCAAACCAGTCATCTAATCTGATTCAGCCACTGCTCACCACTCTGCTGGAAAAGGGGAATAGGATCCCTTGGGGTTTTCCAGACCGGCCTCCTTGGGACCACACCAGTCCCCTCGTGCAGGGCCTGACCACCCAGCTGGCTTTGGTGCTTGTCCCCTGCTCCCCGCAGGTGTGGCACCAGGGGAGCAGAGCTGGCAGGTCCAAGGGCACAGGGCAGCTCAAGCCGTGCCCAGACATGAAGGGCTTCCACAATTCTGATTTGAGCTCTCGTTCTGCTGCCAGGAGAGCTCTCCCAGCTCAGCCCTTTTGGCAGTGCCATTTCTGCTCGTGTTACACCACAAACCAAAATTTTCCTGGGGGGAAAAAAGGGCCACAGTGTTTGTGTAATGAATGAGGTGTTTGCAGTGTTATACTGAAAACATGAAAAGCTTAATTTCTTAGCTGAACATAACACTAACAGGTCCTCAGACTCACAAGAAGGATGTAACCTGATGTAAAGGAGATTTGTGGGATGGATGGAGCTGAGTTATTTTATAACTGTGAATACTCTCGGGCCCAGGGCTGTGCAGCACAAGCACATTAAAAGAGATTTTCATCTAAATATGGAACACAGGCAAAGGCTGCTGAAACTCTATTTTTATCCCCATTTTGCAGAAGTGGAAGTGTGGCTACAGAAGATGAAGTGATTTACCTGTGTCTAGCAAGAAGCTTGTGACCAAGAACTGAATTTTGATCTCTGGAGTCTCCAGCCATGTGCCTTGTCTCACACTTTGCATATCTTTTACCCCATCTAAGCAGCAGGACAGGAGGCACAGTCACTGAATCCACTTTTTTGCACTCCTGGTGGCTTGGGCCAGATGTCAGGGATGGAAGAAGCAGGGAAAGCCCAGCTTTGCCTGACCACTCTTGTAACTGAAAAGGCAAGTGCCCATCCAGCACCATCCAGAACTGGGACACCTGACATTGGTGTTCAGGGAGACATGGAAGCTTTGAAATAGCTGCCTGGTGGGACAGACATTAAATTAACTCAGCTGTTTTCCTTCTCACAGATCTCCTAATCTGTGAGAGAGCAAAGCTCCCACGAAACTCTGTGGGTTTTCTTCCTACCTTTTCCATGTAGCAGGGTTGGGCTGCATCCCTCAACCTCCAAAGGAACAGCTTTGCTGGAGTCATGACTGTCCTGTGATCTTCCTTTTGCCTCTATAAAGCCTCCAGAGCAGGTGACAACCATTCCAAGGAAGTCTGATCCCTCCTCTGACTGGAAACGCCCCTGTTTCATCACTGCTGTTCCTGTACCCATGTCTGGTCTGTGCACAAGCCCCTGTTAAGAAAGTCACTGTCACAGAATTATCCAGTGAAGTTAATTCACCCTTTCCAATCTTTTAATGGTCAAAAAGAGCCAGAACTTCTCCATATCTGACCAACTATGGGCTGAAGATCAGGTAGGCAACATGCTGGAAACAGAATCCAGTCTTTTATTATGCTTCCAAGTGCAGATTTCAGCTGCAGGCAGAGAAATAACATCCCTCACTTAGGTAATTTGACAAGAGGTTTGCACAGTAGTTTGAAAAGTAAGTGAAAGTACCAAAATCTCCTCCCAAAATCACAGGAAAGGGATTAGGATGAGGTAAAAAGTGGTATCTGGAGCAGTCTGTTCTAGAGAAGAGTAAGAGATGGGGAAGTCAAGGAAATGTAAGGAAATAAACGGAAATGCAATGAAATCCATCCTCTGTGGCCCTCTGCTGTTGGCTTGGTGAACTGTAAAGCAAATTTTCCCTGTGAAGCACATTGCAGTGACACAGAAGCCACCTGAACTGAGTGACAGCCAGCCTGGCATCAGCATAAATGTTCATGAACACTTCCCTGTGGGATGTGCCAATCCAGG